AAAAAAAAGTTTCCGTACGTCATGCGGACTGCGCCCCTCGTGTCGGTTGGGCGGGAATGGAGGGTAAAAAGCCGTTGGGATTAATTAATAATTAATAAAAGCGAGATTCTACAACATCTCATTCATATGTGCCAATGCCCCGATGGAAGACAGGGACGAGGCATCCAAGGCTCTCTTAGCTTTGAGCGTACATATTAGCTGAGGGTGATCGACTTCGCCGGGGCCCGAAACTTGGCAGTATGTATTACTGGGTTCTTGCATAGAAAGATCCATCAAGCTATATGTATGTCTCCACATCGAAAAACGGGAAACCAAATCGAGGATGTTGTGATAGACGGAAGGCATGCTTCCATGTTTTAGATGTACATACGTACACTCTGATGGCCAAACATCGACTCGCACTACTATATTGAAGCATCCAATATACGACCCAACCTCGGAGCAGCAACAAAAGGGCCCCCAACAATCCAAAGAAAGTTCAACGTCGAAAAGCTGCAATCAAAACAGACGGCCAATGGATTCGGCGCTCGACCCTCACACCTGCTATGAGAGAGCACTCTTCAACAAACCGACTTGCGCGATCAGTGGAACCACATTTCCCGCTCATTACTGGTGCGATGAGGAGTGTGAGAAAATGCTTGAAATGCTGGCCGACAGAAATAACACCCGAAATTTATAGCAGAGAGTTGAGCGACTTACGGAAGGTTTCAAGACTCTTGTAGGAACAACCATGGCGACCTAGTGACCGATGTCCAGAAAGTACTCAGATTATGGAGGGAACACTTTTCGACCCTTGTGAATGGCAGAAGCACTGAAAGAAGTGGAGAAGACGAACCCGAGGTCCCAGTCTATGACGATGGAGTCAATATCCCAGCGCCTGACTATGTCGAAAAGTACCAAAGCTGCTTGAGCTGACGGCCTGTCAGCTGAGCTATTTAATTACGATGGCAAGGAGGTAATAAGGTGCATGCCCGACGACTGGAATTCAAGTGCGCTCTGCCCAATCCACAAGAAAGGCGAACCCGCCATGCGTGCCAACTACTGCGGGATCAGCCTTCTAAGCATAGGTTGCAAGATCTTATCGAATGTATTGTATACCATATAACAGGTATTCACAATACGCCAAATCTTGGAAAAGACCCGCGAGAAAAGTATCGGCACTCACCACCTATTTGTCAACTTTAAAGCCGCTTTCGGCAGCCCTAAAAGGAGTTTCCTATATGCCGCCATGTCTGAATTTGGCATCCCCCCAAAACTCATACGGCTGTGAAAAATTACGTTGAGCAATACCACTACCTCTGCTCTATTGCCGTTCGCCACCAGACGGGGTTTCAGACAGCACGACTCTCTTTCAAGATAATAAGGTCTGCAGAACTGAACCACTCAGGAACAATTTACTACAAGAGCGTACAATTGCTGGCTTATGCCGATGACACTGACATCATCGGTTAGAAAAACCGCGAAGTCTGTCCTGGCTTTTCCAAGTTGGACAAGGAAGCAAAGCGAATGGGTCTGGTGGTAAACGAGGACAAGACGAAGTATCTCCTGTCATAAAACAAACAGTCAGCACACTCGCGCCTTGGCGTAGGTGCCAAGGTTGCCACTGTTGACAGTTACAATTTCTAGAAAGTAGAGCATTTCGTTTACTTGGGAACCACCATTAACACAGATAATAATGTCAGCATGGAAATCCAACGCAGAATCGCTCTTGCCAACAAGTACTGGCTTTGGACTGAGTAGGCAATTCAGGAGTAAACGTACGAAAACCACACTATAAGTCACTCATCATGCCCGTGCTGGTATATGGCGAATTAAATACAGCGGCTCAACTGGCTTGACCATGTCGTTCGAATGGACACCGACGCCCCACCTCTGAAAGTATTCTGGCGTCAGTTGGCCAAAATCGCTTTGGCGGTTACAGCGCCAAATAAGAAGAAGAAGAAGAGAATCTATAACCTTATCAGTCACACAGTGCTATTAGCCCGACGAAATCATTGACGGTGGTACCGGGAGGGGAACGGTACATGACGGTAGGAAGTTTAGTTTGGGTTAAAGTCTCACACTGACGGGGTTGGGCTTTCGATGCTTCCTCTTCGTAAAATAAACATGCTCAGTAAAAAGTTAACAATTTAAATCGACGAATGGTTTTATATCAGCTTTTGTGAACTTCTGTTTATTTGTTTTTTTGTACAACAAATGGTTACAATAATTTTAAGCTATAATAAACAATTTTTTAGTAAGTAATTATTGGTTTTGATTTTTTTTTGGATGTGTCTTGGAAGTATGAAAAAGCATCTGAGAAGTCCAGAAATCAATCGAATTCAAAAGAAACATACTGACTTTGAAGTTGTGTAAACTAAATTCTTGCTGCTTGCATACAATTCAAACTGAACATTTGAAAGCACGCTTATATGTCTGGATGTAGCTGAGCGCGCAAAGATGTTTGCTACAATTGGTCGCAGCTAAGAATGTGCATGTTCAAATCTCATTTAATTTAAACAA